AACGACAAAAAGATCCTAAAACTACCTAAACGACTCAATATGGGGGAAAAAGAACGCTAAAATAATGACCAAAAATGACACAAAAATGGGACAAACAACTCCCCCACACTAAAATCTTTGTTCGTCCCGAACGGGAGAAAGGTTGTGGTGGGGGCACTGTCTCTGGAGGTCCTTGAAACGTTCCCAGGCCTTGTGAAGAGGCTCGTGTGGCAGTTGAGCGAAAGAGACAATCTGGGACCGGATGTCCTGAGTCTTCTGATGGGAATAGTATTTCCCAACAAATTTGGAGTATACTTCAGCCCAGGTTGTGAGAGAGGTCGGGGAGATCATGAGCCACGCCTTGGCTCGGTCTTTTAAGGTCTCCGGGAAACAACGCATTCTGAGTTCATCTTCACTTAGCCCGTGTAAAGGAAACGTCTGGAGGACGTTGTAAAACTCCTGGAGAAAGTGGAGTGGGTCTTCGTTGGCGAGCCCGTGGAATGATGGGAGCTGATTGTAGTGGACCACCTTCAGCTCATAGTTGCGAGCGGCTTCTGGCAACTGGATGCAAGACGTTATAGGCCCGATCATGGGCTGGGCCAGATCTCGGATGACATTGCGAGGAGGTTGTTGTTGTTGTTGTTGAGCCATGTCCGAAGTGCTCCCCTCAGATGACTTGGGAGAAAGTTCGCCTCTTTCGGGTGATTCGAGGGTCAGCTCCTCTAACAACTCCCTCAAACTCTCGTTAATCGACTTGTTGATAGGGGATAGTATACGTCTACTCCTGGTACGCATACACTCAAACAACGAAAAGGTTACGAGCACCAACGGTAAAGAAGAGAAAATAAAATGAAAACAAAAGAAAACGAAGAACTAACACCTAAACAAATAAGAAGAAAGAAGAGAAACACGAAAAATTAAAATGAATAACGCACAAAATATGTCCTGAACCCTCCCCGGCAACGGCGCCAATTTGTTGTGTATATTTTTACCGGAGCAGAATCGAAAGATTCGAACACCGGGTCGTGTCTCACGAGGAAGGTTAGCCGGAATAAATTGCACGTTTATTCAATCACACAAAAGAAATTAAACTCCTAAACATTCTAATTCAAATGATTGGATTGGTTTTGACTATAACCTACTACGAAAATTAAGTAAGAAATAAAATAAATAGCAAGCGAGGACGAAGAACACGTAGGATTTAGGGAGCTAGGGA